ATGCACGAGTGACCTGGAGGGGGTGCAGGAAGTAATACACGTCGTTTGTATGTGTGCATAAGCCAACGGCGAGCCCGGCATACAGTCTTCAGGCCCCAGCACCAAGCTGATACATGTGAGTCCAGTCTGCGACATATCTCACTAGTCGTCCGTACTGCATCTTGTGTTGATCCCCATCTTTGGTTTCCTGGCCTCTTTTGTTTATTATTTTTTTTTCCCTCGCCACCATATCCGCCTTCAATATTTAGCTTCCGTCTTTTAGTTTTCAGCTCTCAGCCCGCGTCCCTCTTGTCGATATTTGGTGATTTATGTCTTACGTTGCTGGCCTTCTTTTCGGCCCCTTTTTATTGTCTGGCACACCACCGAATCCAAGGCATCCTGTCTTGTCTCTTGTTATCCCACACCCTAGCATAGTAAACCCCTGCCTCTTTTTCTTCCTTTGCCGCTTCCCCGGGTGGACCTAGGTCGCGCCGCCACCATGCCTCCCTATTTGACTGTCGGGCGGGGAAGACAGAAGGAGAGCCGGGTTGTATGGATTTACACTTTTTCTGCTTTAATTTTTGTATTATTTTGTTTCCCCTTCGTTTCTTTATGTATTATGGAGTAATGAACATCTTCGTCTCTTAACTACTCTTTACCTCTCAAAGAAAGGTAAGAATAAGTGAGGGTGACGACGGGGTGCTTTATAAATCATTATTCGTGGTGTCTGGCCTACGCTTCGTTAGTTGGCTTGTCGCGAATCGGTGACGGGAGCGAAGTGGAACTCCCCCATATAAGAAATCTTAGTTCCATTGTATTCCACGTACGGCCATAGATATTGGAAAATACGGGATCCCGTCCGCTCTCCCCTAGTCAAACCAATAATCGGCGGATTAGTAGTTGGGTCGGTGACGACCAGCGAATACCCGCTGCTGTACGTTTTTGTCGACTTTAATATTTTAATATCCATTTTTTTTTCTTTTTATTAACGGGAGGTCGTTGAATCCTTTCAGTTTTGTCCCTTTGTCCCTTTGGTTAATATATATCTCTATTTGTTGCAACTTTACATTTTAATAAAGGTTTCCTTTATCTTGAAAGAAAGTATATCGAAAATGGGTTGAATTAAACTGGTGAGAGTATTGCAAGCTCAGCTTGGATGCCACTTAAACGGTCCTCAAAGACCTCGATGAAGTGCCGTTGCCGCTATCTCTGTCGACTTTAACGCGCGAGTCGTGGGCACGTAGCATATATCATCCTTGACCGAAGCGAAAGACAGACATGTTTTACCACGAGGTTCCTGCGTAGTTCCCTTAACTGGACCCGTCTCTCGTAGCCGAGGAAGTAAAGATGTACCAGGAACACACCATGCATCAGATTGCTGCCTACCATTATAAGAGAGTGCCGCTCTTAAAAGAACGCAGAGTACTCCGTACAAATTGTTGCGTTCTCGCCCTCTCGTAAATATTATATATATATTAATACCCTCGTATGGCCTTCCTCTCGCTTCGCCCCAAAAATAAACTACCCGGAGACCCGGGAACTTGGCCAACGCCGAGACGGGCCTGTCGTTTTTATTGTCTTTTTGATTGTTGTCCATAGTGTCCGGTGCAGCAGTACTCCGTATTTTGGGTAAGAGCCATGCCTTCCCCCCCTATAGGAACACCTACTATGGGCCAATATATGAATATATGTGCACTTCCGACGACGACCCAGAAAACAAACATCCAGATGAGCAACAAAAGACGAGCGGCAGACGTTGAATATACACCGTACAAGACAAGGGCACCACGGGGCAGAGAGACGATGGTGTCATTCTTTTCCCCGGTTTGCTATGCGGGGTGAGAGAGAGGTCGACGTATCAATCAGCAGCGGGAGACGTTTTTGTTTTGTTGGGTCTGTTCGGTAGACAGAGGCAAGTCCGGATTAACCTTAACAGCCGCCATTAGGAGTCTATATAAATCCTTATCTACAAATTGCATGAGATGAAGCACGTTTTGGGAACGGAGGGAGAAAAGGAGACGATACAAAACAAAACAGAAAGCAAACAAAAAACAAACAGAAAACAAACAAAAAACAAACAGAAAACAAACAAAAAACAAACAGAAAACGATGACGGATCTGGTTGGGGAGATGGAAAGACCAGACGCTTCTTCGGCTAAATGATAACAAACAATTGCAGGCCCGCCAGCGTCGTCGATAGGTACATAACTCTCATGTGCACTACGTCCCTGATCATTGCAGATGCGCACCATGAACATGTCCAGTTCACAACCGGTTCCCCCAATAGAAGACTCGTTTACGATATTGCATTTCCGCCCCCAACACTGTCTGTTTCATTTTCGCCAAGAACAGCCGGAAAGGGGCATGAGAAGTCCACGCACACTCCACAACCACTTCACATACACAGCCTATGCAGATTACGTCGCAAGAACACGCAGCCGCCCTTCTCGCCCTTCCATCCCGTCCCAAGTTGCCCCGGGATGCATAGCCGCAGGTGCTGTTTATATGCGTAGTAGATTGTCTGCAGGCCAGGCAAGGCAGACACGACAGCCAGAGACGGGTCCCCAACACCATCTACCGCGATTTCTATTTTCAACGAGAATAACAGCGTGTTTTACTCGGCCCTCCTCGTATGGTGTATCTGCTGTCCGCCTTGTCCTGGTATGCTCGTGCCGTATCTCTTACCAAAGTGTCGTCTGCTTGTTGGACCACAACCGGTTTCGTGCATGTCGCATACGACGATATGCAGTGAATTAATCAAATGCAAGTGAGGAGAAACCGAAAGGCTGCCGACGTAAAGAAGTGGCAGCCTTGTTTTGGCATACAATTATTCTCGATTCAAGTACATGCTGTGACACGATATTGTACCAGTTAATTCATAGTTTGTACTTTAGTCTGTATATCATTCCCATGTTCATCTCAATACAGCAGACTTGCGAATGGCTTGGTGTTGATGAGCTTTCCTATTTCCACCTTCAAGGGGAAGCTATTCTTTTTGATAATTCTCAGTGCATACGTGTTTTTTGCTTTGTTACAAAATTTCGTGAAAAAGAAAGGACGCCAAACGGTGCGATCACGGTGTTTGTCCCATTTGCAGTCATTTTCTGGGCGAGTTCATCGGAACGTGCATCTTACGTGCATCTTACGTCCCCTTCCACACGGCAAGATGAAAACGCCTGGACAGCATCCATCGGGAAAGCGCTGGTGCACAACGTGGCCCGTCTGGTCCTGCTTGGTCCTGCTCGGCCGTGTCTGGTTCTGGTCGGACCTCTTTGGTTCTCTGCCGCGTGGGCGCGTTGATAGGCTGTGGGAATGACGAATCAGACGTCGAGCAAAGATAAAGAATTCACGTGTACAGTGGACATGAAGAAGGACTCCCATGAACACGACAATAACAAGAGCAACGTAAAAGACAAATTGCAATGTACACCGTAGAATCGTCTCGTATTTACTGCTGTCTTTACCTAGCCAACTTCCTGTTGTGACACCCCAACGTACTTTGTATGCATGCGCAGCTGTCTGCAGCCATCTCTTTGCGGTCAGTTTATTTATAAAAATCAAAGACGTGATCATCAGGAACTCTTCCAGAGCCTCGCAGCATGCTATGTACACTCTACCTTGATGGCGTAGCATTTTTCATATGCAGGTTGACGCTGTCTGATATGCACGCAAACGCACGCAATGCGTATGTCGAAGCAGAGACACGATTCTCAAACAAGAAAAAAAAAAGTGCGGGACAGAAGACGGCACGGACGTAAGGTGTACACATGCAATGCAGAAAACCAGAAAACACGGAAAGACAAGACGATGGATGGAGAATGGGAGAATGGTGAAAGATAACAGCACATAGAGGTAACAAGAAGACCCGATACTAGAGACACCCTACACGAAGTATGCCAAGACAAGGCTCCCTATCTCGCCATCTGTACCTTCGCTTGCTGGCGGTGTCTTTGCCTCCTGAATTTGCCGTTTCTCGTCAAAGACGGGAAGTGATTCCCTCCCTGCACGTTCCCCTGGGAGGGAGAACGCGGCAACAAATGAAGGCAAATTGCGACGGAGAGAGCGAGAGAAGGGGTGCGAACAAAAAGGGACGGAGATATGGGAACGGGAGAAACGAAACACAACCAATATATTTTGAAAAAAATCTGACCGGTCATTTCCGCCTTACGAGAACAATATACAAGAACGACATCTCAATTGGGAAGCATGCAGAAAAAATAGATGAAGACGGGCTGGAATACGGAACGGATACGACGTACAGAACATACAGAAATACGATGTGGCCAGGGGCATCACTGTCTTCACTGATCTTGCACGATAAAAGAGATTAGAGTGGGAGGCAAGGACGGGAACCAGCCGTGTTCCCCGAACAGCAAACATGGGAACGTGCAGATTCTCGGTGAGAGCGGGAAAATGGGGGAGCGGACGGGAAAGGGAGAGGAACGATAGCGAGGGTGTACATTCGGATGGAAGGTACGACGTACGCGCCATATCGTTAATGAAAAGGCGGGGGAGGCACAATATATCTCCAAGCGGATGCGTTGGCACTGATGTCGTCAATTCGTCCTGTCGCACGCCTCTTGTTCATGGCCTTACTTTCTTTTTTTTTTTAAAAAAAAAAAAAAAAAAAAAAAAAAAAAAACTAAGGACACTTGTACCTCTCGAAATTGCGGTGTGCATCTTGTCTTCCATCCACGGCCTTTCGCTATCAGAACCGTGATCGCTTTGCCTGAGTTCCGCCAATTCGTTTCGTCGTTGCGCATCCTGTTTGTCCGCTAACGTCTGGTCTCTTTTTGTTGTCGTTCAAGTTGCTTATCCCCCAAGACTCCACAGACCTATTGGTTGTGGCATGACAGAGGTTCTTGTCTGTTCTCCCGCTGCCGTTTATAGTGATGAGTGCCGTGAACTATCAGTCACTGCAGCTGGCACGTATTGTGAAATGCGAGATATGGATTGCGCAAGTGTACCTGCTGCAGGATCCCAAGCAGAGAAAATGCGGTGAGCATAGTTGCTCCGGGTCGTCAACCACCGTCTGTCGATAGTATACTATGAACAAGCTCTTGTTCTTCCGCTTCCCACGACTGTATCCGCCAAATGTCGGTGCTGGTGATGCTGATTTCCATAGCGAGATGGCCCAGTGCTGCAACCACGCGGTATGCCCGGGGCAAGTAGCCAGCAAGGCCGCCATCGTCGCTTTTCAGTAGACAGAACAACATGGCCATGTCTTCAATATCGCCCCCCTTAGGCTCTTCCTTGTTGCAGACAACGTCCTGGATCCGTCGCAGCAGGTGACCAATCTTCACGCGCTGATCATCTGGGCTCGTGTTGCCGTCCTGCGCCATGCTGCAGACACAGCAGTCGCAACGAAAACCAAACTGGATGAGGCTGCGCTGCCGCGCCTCCGTGTCTTGCAGTAGGCTGACGTAGCTGATCAGCAGCTCTTCGCCCGGTGCGATGTCCCGAGTGGCCCAGACGACATGGTGTCCTCGAGCTGTGTCTCCGTCGCCGTCGCCATTGCCGCCGCCGCAGTAATACTCCGGTACCCACAGATTGGCCACATTGGGCCTGCAGGAGTGGTTGAGCCGCGCCATGCGAGGGAACATGCCCCAGTGCATGCCCCAGCGACCAGTGTCTCGCACATCGACAGGCACGATGCTGAACGCGTTGCTGCGGAAAATATAAAACGCACGGCCGCTGTCCGGCTCGCCGGGAAAGCGATGCTCGTGGCATGCCTCGAAGATTGCTTGGTTGGCGGGTGACAACCTCTCGAAGCTGGTTTGGATCTGGGACACAATGTCTCCGCCGCTGGACGTCCGCGGCGCAAACGAGGGTGATGTCGTTGAAGATGAGCGCGTTGGCCCTGGAGGCACGACGACGAACTGGGGTGCTTCGACTAACACGCGCGTGTACTTTGGGATCCGCCGTGTTGCGAATGCCCCGATGCCCTTGCCGGGTGAGGTTCGGAGCTCGTACCATGGTTGGTCGGGAGGTTGCTGCCATGCTGGTGATGTTCGCTCTGTCAAGCACGCCGAGACCGAGGTGTTCTTATCGTCTGCCGAGTTGCCATCACCGTATTTCGTCTGACTGCTGTTGTCAGTGAACATCGTGTTAGACCTCCACGAGGTTTGGCAGAATCCGCAGGACGATCTTCCAGACCATATGGGAGGTCGACAATCTTACCGTAAAATAGCCCCAGACCAACGCTGCCAGCTTTTCGAAGAATGGGTCCGCGATCGAATCTGTTCGTCATTGCGAATCAAGGAGGCGAAGATTTGCATGCCCAAGGCTAGAACAGCCAGCAGCGCTGCAATGGTGGCCAACATGGCCATGTCTCAGTCCGGTGGCATCTCCTCGACGAACAGTAGTTGATCGAGTCGATTGCTGTCTTTGCTCTTATTCACTCGAAAACACAACATAACTGTGCGACTGTCGCGACACTACTTCTGCATTCTTCGCCGCACAACTTTGCCTGAAATTGCCCAGGTGTTGCGACAGCCAGTGTCGCCATCGTCGCGGACCATCCGCCCATCCGCATTCCAACTACCGGTCGAGGTCAGCTTTGCCGCAGCGGATGAATGCAAAACTATGCGAAGAAAATAAAGCCAAAACGAGATGCTCGAAACACCAAGCAAAATACTTCGCCTACTGTACCTGTACCATTTGCTTAATTGCAAGGAAGGCCCTTTCACCTTCTCCATTCGTCCATCACTCCTCAATTTCATCAGGAGGGCTCAGCCTCGATCTCGCACTCCATGTTGGCCGCTGTTTGAGGCGTTGCAAATGTGCCCGACACGCATTTATATAGCGCTTGACTCAAGCGGCAGACCCGGTGACTCAGAACGGCCAGGCCGCATTTTTAATGCACTCTTTCTTCCAACCTACCTTGCAGTCTAGTGGCCACGCCGAGCGGCATGGCCCGTAAACGTTACTGCTACCCCGCCGAGGCAATTGGGATTTCGTCATTGTCCTCTGTGCTGTGACAGCGCAGTTTCTTTCTTGAAACGGCGAGCTCCACGAGCTTTGTTCACTAGCGTTCCCAATGATGCATCCTGAATGGCAAAAACCAAGACTGGAGGCCACTAGAACAAAAGGAAAAAATGGTCTGAAAGACGAGGTGGGCCTGGAACAAACCCTGTCGACATCCTACCTTTTACTTGGCGGCGACTCGGATGTGACCACGTCGGCATTGCGTTTTCTTGTAATGCGGATTGCAGAGGGTCACCAAATTAACGATCCATTTGTTGACGGGCATTCTAGTCAGGGGCGGTGTTAATCGGTTTGGTCGATTCAGTTGTACTTAAAGCATCGATAAAAGTCGACTGGAAGTCTATCTTTGTCCTTCCTTATAAGTTGTCGACACGGCCCAAACGAGAATATACAGGAAGAGACCATAGGCCTCACGGTGCTCAGATTCGTTCTTCTTGATACCGTTTCCTTGTCGTCGTTCGCAATATCGAGCATAGCGATGACGTCCATGAACTCAGATTCAGTGTCGGCCATCCAGGTCTCCTGCAAACAGACCCGCTTCCAGGTTGAGAGCCCAAATTATCGTGAGGTAAGCTCTTATTTGCAGCCACGAACAAAGTGGAAGGAGAAATATTGACCTACCTGCAGCTCGATGTCGAAGGCCTCAGTATCGCTGTCTCGGCCGGTCCGCCAGCAGGCACGACAAAAGCCAAAGGCAAGGCGGCTCGAGGTAACAGCATTGAGATCTTGTCCGATGCAACGCTGCGGCTCAAGGCCGGCGAACGATATGCTCTCATCGGCCGCAACGGCACTGGCAAGTCTAGTAAGTAGAACCGGATTTGCAATAAAGTTGGAAGCAGAGACGGTCCACATCGCTAACATCGTAGCTCTTCTTCGCGCCATTGCTGAGAAGTTGATCCCCGGTATCCCGGAGGAGGCCCGCATTTCCATCCTGCAGCAGACCAACGACAGCCGAGATGGGGCCGATGCCAAGGACAATCGCCGCACAGTCCTAGAAGAGGTTATCGAGCGAGCCACAGCGAAAGACGAACTCGAGAAAGAGATACAGCGTATGTTGTGCTACTGCCAGTAGAAAAAGAAGAAAAAAAAGAACCTTGTGAGACTAACGCGTCTAGTTTTATCAAACGGCGTTGATACCTGTGCAGCGGAGGACGACGGCAAGGATAGATACGCGGCCCTCCGTGCTCTGCGCAAGCTGCGGCATGACCGCTTGCAGAAGCGCCTTTTTGTCCTCGACAAGAACGCCCGCCTGCGCAGCGGCGCTCGCGGCATGCAGGCCCGGAAAGCTCTAACAGCGCTTGAGAAGACCGTTGCTGACGCCACGGAGGCCTGGCAGCAGGTTGACGCCGATATTGCTGCCGATACATTGCAAGCCGAAACTCAGGAAGCAGCGGACCTGCTTGCGGATCTGCAGATCCAGGCTGAGCCGGCACGGCTGGCGCACATCGAGGCTCGTGCCAGGAGCATCTTGGCCGGCCTGGGTTTCAGCGATACCATGGCAACATCCAAGGCCGTCAGCGACCTGTCGGGTGGCTGGCGGATGCGCACGGCACTGGCAGCGGCGCTGCTGTCGGACGCGGATATCCTGCTGCTGGACGAGCCAACCAATTTTCTGGACATGCTGGGCATTGTATGGCTGCAAAAGTTCTTGCTGGCAGGCAGTGGTGAAGGAGGCTTGGATGGCACGACGACAGGCGGTGAGCCGGCACGGCCACCACCGACCCTCGTTCTCGTATCGCACGACCGAGATTTTGTCAGTTCTGCCGCAGATCATCTCATCTTGCTCCAAGAGAAGGCACTTTCGTACTACACAGGCGACCTGCCATCATACGAGGCGGCACAGGCCGAGTCTCGGCATCATCTGCACAAGATCAAGGATGCCCAGGACCGACAGCGAGCGCATTTGCAGGAGACAATCCAGCGAAACATGCGCGAGGGCAAGAAGAACAATGATGACACTCGCATCCGGCAGGCCAAGATGCGCCAGAAGAAACTCGACGACCGTTGGGGGCTCGAGACCAATGCCAAGGGTCATCGCTTCAAGCTGAACCGCGACATGCCTGGGTTTCACCTCACTCGGCGGAACGAAATCGACGTGCCGACTGAGGCGCGGGCGATGCACATTGTGCTACCCGAGCCACCCGACCTCCGGTTCCCCGGTGCGCTGCTAAGTTTAGACAATGTCTGCTTCCGGTACGGTGTTGTAAAACGAAACCAGGAACCGCCACCGTGGACGCTGGACACGGTCAACCTCAACGTACACATGGGCGACCGCATCGGCATTGTAGGACTTAATGGAGCGGGAAAATCGACGCTCATCCGCTTGCTTGTGGGCGAAGACAGTATCAGCGCCGGTGCTGGTGGCCAGGCCCGCCTCAAGCCAACCAAGGGAACCGTGACGATGCACCCGAGGCTTCGTCTCGCGTACTATGCACAAGATGCCGTCGATGCTATCCGCGCACTCGACATCGACAACCAAGACGAAGCCCCAATGACGGCTCTCAGCCTTCTCATGCGCGATGCCGCCGGGCAACTATCCGAAGGCGACCTCCGTGCTCTTCTTGGTGAGCTGGGTCTGCCGGGTCGTCTAGCATCAGACACACCGCTGCGGCGGCTGTCGGGCGGACAGCTTGTGCGATGCGCACTGGCACGACTGCTGTGGCAGAGTCCGCAGTGCTTGGTGCTAGATGAGGTCACGACTCACCTGGATTATGAGACGAGTACAGCGCTGCGGCAAGCTCTGCGGACGTGGCCGGGCGCGGTGGTGCTCGTGTCGCACGACCGTTGGTTTATGCGGGGTGCCATAGAAGGCGAGGTTGACATTGTGGCAGGCTCGGGATCTGACGATGACGGCAGTGGCCACGACGATGCAGTAGGGGAGGATGGGCCTGGTGGAAGAAAGCTCGTCTATCGCTTGCGGATGGGCAAGTTGACGCTGCTCGACGGCGGCGTGCAGCAGTTTGAAGATCTGTTGGAGAAGAGGGTCAAGAAGCTGCTGGTGTCTTGAAATGGTTAGCAGTTAGGTGAAGGAGGGCGGTTATGATAATGGCTAATGGCTTGTAATGCAAATCGGTACCAAGTAAACGGCCACAATTATCCAAAAATCTAATGTTCATTCTTCTATTCAACTCATGTCTGTGTCATGTTTCTGTTGTGTTTGCTGTAATAGGCGCTGAGCAGCGATGTGGTTTCGTGGCTTCGTGGCTTCAAATGCAATAAAAACAAATCATTGCGTATTCACAATGATCTGAAGCACAGGCTTCGAGGCCTTGCGCACCTTCATCCACCCGCCTTGTGGGATTTCCACGATTGTTCCGTCGATGCATCTAGGAGAATTAGTACATACGCGGAAACAGATTTCGAGATTAAAGCACAGCTGCGAACTTACACTTTCCGCCAGCGTGCGTCTTGCTCGAGCACGTCGACCTGCAGCTCGTCGATGGCGTCATATCCAACGCTCTCCTCAGTCTGTGCCTTTACCTCGCCATTGGCATCCTTGCCCTCGGCTTCTTTCGTCCAGCTCATGCCGATGTGAGCGCCGTTGTTGTAGGCCGCCATCATAATGTCCATGGTCCTGGCACCACCGACGTCGCCAAAGTGCACCAGCCGGAGCTGGCCGTCCAGTGGCTCGCTCGCGGGCGAGATGGTAAATGTCTTTTCCAGGTTGGAGACCATGCTCGCCAGGATGTAGTTGAAGCGATGGCCGAGACTGCGCGGTGCGTCCTTATCAATCTCAGTGAGAGTGACATCCGCATCGTAGGCATGCGACGTCTTGAGCAGCTCTTGTGCGGCCATGCCGAAGCGCTTGTCGCCGTGCTTGCGGTACTCGGGCGTATCGCTCTCCCAGACAAGTTGGGCATGGAAGCCGTAGCTGGCGACGATAGCGCCGCGCAATAGCTCGACGTTCTCAGCCTGCTCCTTGAGCGCGGCCTCTTGGCCTGCCTCCTCCTGCAGCGAGTAGCTGACCGTGTGCGAACCGGGAGAGAAACGGGCTTCAAAATTGGGAAGAGGTGCGGCACGGCCTTTGACAAGAGAACGCAGACCAAGGACAAACGACGACGGCCCCGTGGCAGCGGCGGAAGCAGCAGCAGCAAGGTAGTCCGGCCGATGTAGGGAGTGGAACAGCGCATTTCCGGTGCCGAGCGGCAGCAGGGCAATAGCTGGGAGCTGCCGAGGATCGACGTCATCGCTCTGCATGGCCACACCGTTTAACAAGTCCACAACGCCGCCATCTCCACTCAGGAGAACAATCGTAGGTGGTGCATCCGTGCCGCTCGCAGGCGGCTTTTGAAGCGTCTGAGAAAACTCCGCGATGGAGCGAGAGCTGCTCGTTACGAGCAAATTGTATGATTTCTGGCCGTCTGGGACATTTTCGCTGCCGCTGCCGGAGACGGCCGTGAGGCCGAAAACGCCCAGCAGCGGCTTCAAGACTTCATCGTAGAACGCCTGCGCTTGGCCCAGCCCGGACAGTGTCGAGACGATCACGTGCAGAGACGAGGAGGAAGAAGAGGGAGAGGCAGACGGGACCGCAGTGTCCTCTCTGAAAATAGGAGCAATGTCGGCCAGAAGGTGCCGCCTCAGCACGTCGGCTGGTAGCTTGTGTGCGGCTGATTCATCGAGCACAGTCGTGTGGAAGGCAAAAGGAGGAGGAGGTGGCGGTTGTTGAGCGTCGTCGCTTGATGATGTAGACACTGTGCCCGCAGCGGGGGCTGCTGGCTCGCGCAGCCAGCACACATGGTATTCTTTGGGTTGGCTTGCATTCTGTTGGTGGCGTACGATGAACAGAATCTCATCCTCGCGAATGCGATGCTCCGAGACAGTCAGCACGCCGTCCTTGTAGGCCACTGCAGATGCAGACGCTGGTTCTGCAGCCGCGGCCGCTGCTGGGCCGGTGGTAGCCGTGCTGTTCATCGTCGTCATAGTTGGTCTGTTGTACCCTGGCACGCGACCAATGTATCGGGAATACTAGGAAAAGGTAAAGATGTCTCTTGAACAGCTTTGTCGGTCGAAATAATGCCTTGTTTATGAATTCGTCGAGATTGAGTCACGAGAGTCGATGGCGAGCTTCAACAAAGAGTGTGTGCCTGTAATTACGCGGTAGTTCTCGGCATGTGCAAAATCGCGATTGTGTGATTTCCAAAATGGTGTAAGACGGGAATAAGAGGCGCTGGAGGGATTGGATAAGGACATATAACAGCACCGAAGCAGCCGATAGAACAACGACGAGGATAGAAACCTCAAATAGGGGCACGAAACTGTTTTGATTCTGATGCAGCTCCTGCCTTCGTTGTCACCGTCGCGGTTACCTATTTGAGGGTATATTTTAGCTGCTCTGTCGTTTAGGAAGGAGCGAGTTAAAGTCTTGATAAATGTCTACGCCTTATCAGGTAAGAGCCTCCAACCCATAATCGCGCCGATTGGCAGTACGCCCGAAAGGCGTGTTCACACTGCGAAAAGAGAGCGTTGGGTCAATGATGATTTCAAGCTAAATCCCGTGTAAAGCAGTGAGATTTTGAGTGTTTTTCGACGTGATCGCATTTTCGGTCGCACTGCCTGGATTTAAGGCACCTTCGTTTTTCAGTGGTAGCTCTTTCCTCCTCAACATCTTTCCTGGGATCGACAGACGAGGATAGACAAGGAAGGGGCAAACAAGGCTGTGCTGTGGAAACCCGGTCGTTACTTCCCCTGACTCTCGCTTTCAACGTGCTGTGATGGAATCATCGCCCAGCAAAGCTATTTTCTGACATTTCCAGACAATGACTTATTTCTGTTACGCATTTCTATTGGAATGTAATATTGCTATTCGTACATTGCATGCTCGCCGCCTATTTGCCCTTGGCACGGTTCATAGGTCCCCAGTTCTCGCGCGGGTTCACCTGGTACCGCACCAGCTTCTCGCCGCTGCGGCTCAACTGGCGGCCCAAGTCCTCGTCAAAGACAATGGCCTCGGGCTTGCCTGCCGCGTTTGTGGTGAGGTCCTCCTTTGCTGCTTTGCCCTCTCCGTCAGCCTCCTTGCCATCGTCGCCCTCGGCGCCCTCGTCACCCTCCTGCAACCGCAGCAGACGATGCGCAGCCGTGTTTGGGCGAATGTTCTCGCGCTTGACCGGTGCCTTTTGGCGGACAAAGGCTCGCATAATGTCCCAAAGCACAGACCAGGAGGCGTCGGTCTTGAGGCTGCCGGGCTTGCAGTGGCTGCGGGTGACCCGGTAGCCCAGACGCAGCAGCGCGCCGCGGATGGGGTCCTCGCCGGGCGTGGAGCAGTGCACGGCCTTGGCGAGGTTGGTGGGCAAGAAGAAGAAGGGAGCCGGGTCGACGGCAGCCAGGGCGTCGTCCCCGGTCAGAGGAACAGGAGGCTCGTCTGCGCTTGCATGGGAGGGCGTTGGCTTTGTCTCCGGCTCCATGATCTCCTCAAGAGCTGTGTGCAGCATGCCTCGGATGCGGTCCGTGGTGCCATAGACGTCGGTGGACACCTGTGGAAGGTCATCGAGGATGCGCTGCACAAACTCGGCCTGGTGGATGGGGCCTGCGTACATGGGCCCCGAGAGGTGCATCTTGGAATCGCAGTGCTCGCAGCGCGGCGACGCCGTGGGGCCCGCGGCGAAGGTGTACTTGAAAAAGGTCCCTGAGCCCTTCTTGTTGGGATGGCTGTGCGTGCGCAGCAGCGGCTGGGTGGCCCAGGCGCCGCAGCCCTGGTCGCAGTTGTAGACGGTCATGGTCTTGCCGGCCAGGAACTTGACACTGGCGGGCGAGCGCGTCACGGTGACAAAGACACGGCAGTAAAAGTCGATCGACAGCGACAGCAGCGGCGTGATGGTCAGGCCATAGCGGGCGGCCGACGTCGCCAGCGCGTGCAGCACAATGCGCAGGCCGGCCTCGTGCGACGCAGCGCCCTTCATGGGCACGCCGCCATACAGGGCATAGCACTTTTCGGGGTAGCCCTGGGACGCCCAGACGCCGGCATCGGTACACGTCACGCAGAGCAGACCGCCGTCGCTGCGGACGGACTGGACGGCCGCATCAAAAAAATTGGCACCCGTGCCATAGGGGTCAAGGTCGATCACGTCGTACTTGGCCGAGGGCCGAAAGCGCAAGCCGGCGGCAGCAGCATTCTTGGTGGAAGTCGCTTCGGCCGCAAACGTCAAGTCTTTGGCTATGACGGTGTACATGTGGGCCAGTGCATCAGAATGTGTGACCTCGATCTTTTCTGTGAGGCCGTTCATCGATACATTGCGGTGAATGGACTCGGTAGCGGCGGCCAGCAGGTCGTTGGCCGTGACGGACACATTGAAGGGCAGCTCGTGGGCATAGCGAAGGGCACGCAGGCCGGTTGCTGACAAAGCGTCGAGAATGCGAATCTTGGGTGGTTGTGGGCTGGTCTGGGGTGTCGACTGCGAGTGTGGCACAGGTTGTGTCGTCTCGGCGTCTGTCCCGTTTGTGTCGTTTTTGTCGTTTGCCCCCCGCGACGCCAGTTCTGCCACGGCCTGCGCTGCGTCCTGTCCCTCTGCGCTCTTTTCGACCTTGGCCAGTCTTTCGCCATCAACGCCAACCGCCCTTTCGTCGGCCGCCTCTGACTTTGGCTCGGCCTCGGCCTCTGTCGTAGCAGCGTGTTGTTGGCTACGCTCTTCACGCCGCTTCCGCTTCTTGTTCAACGCCTCCTTGCGCTTCTTCGCAGCCGCCTCTGCGCGCTTCTCGATCGTGGCCGTGCCATACGCCTTGATGGCCAGCACACTAAGATCACGGTTGAACTGCTGGATGGGGTTGTAAAAGACCTGCTGAGGGTGGTCGTCTACTGACGGTCCGCCACCTCCATTCTGACGCTCCTTCCGATCGCCTCCGCTCAATGGCACGTAGATGCGAGCCAGGCCCTCTTTGGCGGTCTTATACCGCGTACCATCGACAACGACCACATTTTCAGCGCCGTTGTCCAGGCCAGTCGCCTCGCCTCTCGCAAACGACTCGTCCTGTGCCTCAGCAGTCATAGCAGTGTCTGAGTAGTCGTCGCTCAGGTGGCTGTGCAGGTGACGCGCCTGGGGCCGCTGTTGGGCGGGGCGGTGACAGAAAGCAGGTGTGCTAGTCGAGAACCAGTACACGGGGACGGCCGCACCAGTCGGTCGGCGAGCATACGAACTATGCAGTGGTCGATTCCGCTGTGACAGTCTCCTCGACGCTGGCGTCGCCAAAGAACAAGAAAAAGAGATGCGATGGAGCGCAGGACAGCACATCAAAGAGCGCGGCGAGGATGAGGTCTCCGTCTATTTCGAGCTTGGGCGAGCACTGTGTAGGAGGTGAGGGCGTTCGGACTGGCGACGCATCTAGATGCAGAAGACTTGTTGGCGATGGCTTTTTTTGTCCCTATTTCTTAGCATTTTATTTTGCAGGTTGCAGGGTAGCCAATCGTGGAGACTCATGCGTTAGCGCGAGGCCAATGCCCGCTAGCCGCTTCAGGGCATTCGGCCTGGAGTCAGACACTGATTAAAGTGGACCCAACGAGGCTGGCTACATTACATCATGTGTAAGTGGCCATGTCCCAACATCATCCTCTACCTCACAGCACGATCCCGCAATGTGCAAAAATGGACGTGTACTTTGGGACGAAACAATGAAGAGCATATAGGTGGTCTGCACAGACAGTCTGCATTCCATTCCACGACACAGCGGGAGTGTATGAGTTCTTTTAAAAAGAAAAAAAAAGAAGAAAAAAAAAGCAGATGACGAGCGTCAAGTATTCTGTTTTGAATGTAACCAGTGCTCGTCGAGAAATGGTCGTTGAAGGCACATATATACTGTTGTACCTTTGTAGAAAGTCCACATTTGTGAATCTACACTAGCTATCTCTCTTGAACGCCGAGTTGGACGGCTGTACATGGCTGTCCCTGTAAGCACAGTTTGAGGACTGTCATTGACAATCGACCGCCTTCGATTGCATGGTGGAGATAATTTTGTGCCATAGGCAGAGCAGAATTCGGGCGATCAGAGACGCTCAAATTTTTTAGGCGGAACCATTTTGCACCGTATAACTGGGGTTGTTGATGTTTTCCTAGAGTTGGCATTTTCGCTCCCTTCTTTTTTTTTTTCTCGTCGCCCTCCACCGTCAGCCCCGTTCGGTGCAGTTGTCACGCTCCTGCGGCGCCCATGGCTTCCTTTCGCATTGTATAGCCTCGAATGACTGTTTTAACGCATCCAGAAACTAAAGACTGCATTTTGTAGTCGAATCCCAACGCTTACCTTCTCTCCACCGTTGTGGAATACACTCAAATTCGACGACTCGACAAGCACTCACCGGATCCACCTCTCTTTCGTTTCCCTGGCGTTCTTTCGAGTGCTCGATAGAGCACTCGGACGTACAATCGTTTCGAACACTCTTTTCACCGTTGATCTTGACTGCTTACGCTCGGCTTGGAATAATTTCCCTCCTTGGTAATTACATTCTTTGTCTGTTTTGTATTCCTTTCAGATTACATGAATTAATATGACAGCAGACACCAAGTGTATGCACATTTGTTTTTAAGGACAAAGCAGGGCACACGGGTGCCTGATACAGCCAGAAGCTCAAACATAGGAGCACATCGACTACACAGCACCCGCACATCTATGCTCGCTACCGCCACAATGTTACAATCGTCGATCCTGGTAGAAACGGCTACAGTAAAGCTGGTCGAGGCCATCTTGTCCGTCTTGTGCTTCTTGTTCGAGAAGGCAGAGATCATTGACACCTTCCTTCTCGTGAAGCTTGGACGCGTGTACAACCGTACACGGCCCGTGCTCGGTTTTGTCTCCCACCCAACGTGCTGGACCACCAACAAGCTGGTCTGCTTTGTCAAGGAAGGCTTCATGTCGTACAACTATCCCCACAGCTGCGCGATGTCATACTCGAGTCGGATCCGAAAAGCACGCTATCGCATTTCCAGAGCCACCGTGTCCTCGGCCATCGGTTACTGGACGGACGACTTCGACCTCGACCCCAACTTTGAGCCGCAGGGTAGTGTTGCACTTGCCTACCTGGTGCCTCCACCGGAGCACATGCGCTTCCCGGGCGGCACTTTGCTGCACCGCGTGAAGAGCAGCCTCATGCTCGTGGCTCTGGCCATCCTTGCTCTCTTGTCCAAGTTTCGTTTGCGGAACCTGCTGCCACGGCAGTGCATCTCGTTCAAGCCCCTCCTCTTTGTTGTTGCGACAATCATGTTCGTCTCCAGCATCTGGAGTCAGACCCGGCAACCAGCCCCAAATGTGCCTCATGTGATGGATTCCACCAGCACCAAGGTCACCAATGCCGCACCCTGGGACTGGCCGTCGCGCGCCAAACTTACCACGACGGGGCCGGACCCGGTTTCCAGCACGGATACCGAGGCTCCGGCTATGGCCCCGCTCAAGGCTCAGTTGACGACATCAGCCAGCACCAAAGCTCCGACCAAGGCTCAAGATAACGGTCTATCCGAGACACCCTCCCTTACATCCAACAGCAGATGCAAGCCCACGTGCGTTCTGAAGCCCATTCGTCTTCCCATCTACAGCATCCACCTGGCCAACGAGACAAATGAGGTGGAATATGCCGATAGGGCGTTCGAGGACCGCTTTCCGTCTGGCTTCTTTGATCCGTCCCCGTCCGATGTACCAGCAATGTCTAGCGAGACAACTGGAACGGCTACCGGCATGCCAGTGACAAGCAGCCCGACAGAGACCACCAGCTCGACAACGTCACCCGCCTCTGCCGAGGCGGCCGCCAGTGCCACGGTCGAGGATGCAGCCGAGTCCAGAGACAAGACGAGGCCGCCCAGATCCTTCAACGAGCATGACCTTGCAGACTACTTGAACTTCCTGTCCGACAAGTTGAACCTTAGCAGCGAAGTCGACGTCAAGGTCAACAATGTCGAGCACGTCTATGACCGAGACACGCTCAACAACCCGCCCAACTACCCCAGTGCCGACTTCGCCGTCGACATGGGCACGCCCTCGCTCGCCACCATTGACCAGGGCCTCGACGACTACTACTCGGGCTTCCAGCGCATCCGGGTGCCCGGCCGCACGGCCCTGCGCGCGCATGTGGCGAACGAGATGCTGCAGTGGCGCAACGACTTCGGCGAGGCGTACAACCGGGGCCAGTACGAGCACATGCCCAAGACGCACCTACACGACGTGGAGCTGCAAAAGACGCTCAAGTACGCTGAACAGGCCGCGTACCAGTGGCGGATCGAGGCCAATGCGCAGCGCCAGGCCGTCGTGGAGCGCCAGGTGCTCAAGATTGCGCGCATGTTCCGGCACCTCAAGCTCGGCCCGGGCCACCAGGACGCGGAGAAGCTCGAGGACAACGAGGTCGTCGTCTTTGCTTACGACAACCCGCGCGACGCCGACCACGGCATGCTCGGGTACGCGAAGGAGTGCCAGGCGCCTCCCAAAGGGACCGTGTGCAACGACGACGGCGTCATCTCTGCGGAGGCAGGCGGTAACAAACCCGTCGCAGCAGTCACTGGGAGTGCCACTCCGGGCATCCACTCGGCTGCCGCCGCTGTTCTCAACGCACCTTCTACCCCGAAGGTCCCCGACATCCCGGCAGACATCCCCGCCGTCGACGGTTTCCCGCAGGAGGCCCAGCAGCACGTCCTGCAGCAGGCGCCGTTGGCGGACACGACGTCCAATGACCACCACGACTCGTTTTTGCAGCAGATTTTGGACAACATGGCCAAGATGCAGGAGAACGAGGAGAGGATGCAAAAGAACACGGAGATGCTCACCTCAGGACTTGGCATGCTTCTGGAGAACATGAAGAACATGAACAAGGTCCAGCCGCATAAGGAACATGAGCCGGCGAGTGCCAAGAAGCCGGCCGACGGAGACGACAACCCGGGATCCCGTCCTGTCTCAAGAAAGCGCGGCCTCGAGGACAAATCGGCCGCTGGTGCACCGGATTCTCCGGCAAAGAACAACGCACCGGTCGACAAGGCTCCAACTCACACAGCGCCGTCAGAGTCCTCTGCCCCCGTCGCATCCAATCCGCCCTCGCCGACTTCCGTTTCTTTCCGTCCTGCAAAGCCAAAGGCGGCCCCGGTGTACCGCTACGACACCGAGGGCGCTGAGCCAGGCCATGTACGGCTGATTTATTGGGACCACAAGACCGCAACGAACCGCTTCGCCATCAGTCTGCCGACCTCGATGGTCGTCCACGTTGGCGGCGACGGGCCCGTGCGCGTTCGCCTGCACCGTGACAACACGGGCTTCAGTGTTTCGCAGGGCGTATTAAACAACGACACCGTGTGGGCCGACAACCAGAATGTCTTTGAATTCGTCGAGGAGCTGGTCGTTGCTTACAACGGCGGCAAGTACATCATCGACAACAACGGGACAAACATTACATACATCCCGCCGCCACCGATGCCACCACTGCCGCCGTCGCTCGAGATTCCCGTGGCTGCGGATGTCGAGACCAAGGAAGAGGCAAGAAAGCAGCGGCCCGCGATCCAACGCCCGGCATTGGCCACGCCGATGCCCATCCTGCCCAAAGGAGCCATCCGTCTGCCCGTCAGCGGCCGCGGTCTGCGGCCCGACCCGGACCGACTTGGTATCCGCAACGGCACCTACGACAGCGCCATCCACGGCACAGTTCCGTACGGCCAGCCGCTCAAGAGATACAAGAACCTGCCGCCGGACCTGCCCACGGTGCTGCCCGGCACGCTGGACGCCTCGGGCCTCGCGTTTGCTGTCAGCACAACCTACTCCAAGCTGCACAACAACGACTTTGCCGCAATTGACGACATGGGCCGCTGGCTCACCGATGGCCAGGGCCACTCGAACGGCGCATTTTTGTTGCTTCTGCTCCACCGCCCCCGTGGCAACGAGACACAGGTCGTGACCAATCTACTCGCGGAGCAGGGCATCTTCTTTGACCTCGTCGAGGACTGGGGCCACATGAACGAGGGCGTCGGCGGCGGCTCCTCGGACGTCCATCCGCTGCCCGTCGTGCCCGACGCCGCCGCCATCCGGTACT